GTGTGTGTAGTGTGTGTGTGTGTGTGTGTGTGTGTGTGTGTGTGTGTGTGTGTGTGTGTGTCAATTAACTATGTCACAATACAAAGGAATGACTACGATATACAAAGGAATAGACGTATTCGATTACAAATAATATTCGTTTTCTCTGTGCAGGCAGACCACTTTGAATACTATATAGTATGTCTACTAGGTAAGCCTCATGAAAAACTGTACCGGTCTCTCTACAATACCTATTGGAGACTTGCAAACGTGTTTCTGTTCGACTGTCGTACTTAAAATATTAATACTCGCTCAAAGATTACTTCTTCTCAAAATTTGAATTCAATGTTTACAATCGAAAAGCCGGCTAAAATATTCCAATAAAAAAATACATATACATAGACAATTCGCCGATGGCAGCCAGGTCGAGTGGATATATATTCGCTCTGTATTTCATATACTCCGGAGTCATTTTTATCACTCATACGCTTGTCAACGGCATTCAACGGTCTTCAACCTTACTACGAAGTAATTTTAATGCTCTCATCGACAACTGAGCATTGCCGAGAATATATTTCACCAGAAATGTGAGACTTCGCTGACATACAGCCCAAATCTTATTGTCGGGTTGCGTAGCTTGAGGTTCCGTGCCTCACTAATATATACAAGACTATAAAGAAATTGTGTTTTTGGTCTCTCGCCAGGCGTCGTGTGTGGTTTAATGGCCGGAAGTCCAAACCTCCCATCCCCCCTCTCAGGTTTTGTCTGTTTTTCCGATACTTAATATTTATCGCTGAATAATAATCATGTAGCTCTGCTTAGCAGTCGGCTGGGACGATTTGTAATGACCAGTATACTCTAGGAGGGATACGATTGCATTTTTTGTAATCTATCTAACCTCAAGTGGTTTGAGAGAGGAAAGCCATACAAATATTTAAATTGAACTTGGATGTGTCAGCCATTTAAATCAAATTTGCACCATTTTTTGTTAGCGATGATGAAATGTGAGCAAAATTGAAAGGCGGACAGCTACAAAAACAAATAATAAAATATGTTTTAAAAGGCTAATGACAAAGCTGTTCATCAGGAGCTCATAAATTTTTACAAGTGACCATGAAGTGAATACCCAACGATTTAGTTATCATGATAGAGTAGACTGTACAGCCCGATAATCTAATAGCTTCCAATACGAATACACACTGTTGGGCTGCGCATCGTTGATTAGACATCTATTCGAAAACAGGCAGCTCTCTGGCTGAGGGACCAACATACAAGGTGTGAAAGGTCAGATCCTATATAGTATAAAATATCATACAACAGCTCGCTTGGTATCTAATTCATCAGTTTGCCAGATTAATTTATACATCATTCCGACCAGATATTGAATACACAGGTCAAAGACGAACATGGACTTAATAATAATCAAATAATTGAAATTGCCACGCGTCAGCAGTGCATAATACTTGCAATGTGTTAACCACAAACGGCCTGTTGCAAGTACTAAAAGGCTATAAACACAAATAACATTTTTGGGTAAAGATTGCAACCATCCTATATAGTATAACATATCATACAACAGCTCGCTTGATATCTAATTCATCAGTTTGCCAGATTAATTTATACATCATTCCGACCAGATATTGAATACACAGGTCAAAGACGAACATGGACTTGATAATAATCAAATAATTGAAATTGCCACGCGTCAGCAGTGCATAATACTTGCAATGTGTTAACCACAAACGGCCTGTTGCAAGTACTAAAAGGCTATAAACACAAATAACATTTTTGGGTAAAGATTGCAACCTCGTCTATTTCATGCTAGCAAAGATTTTCCGCAAGGCTAAACAAATAAACACTGTTGGACGCAATGCATATCGCTGATAAGACATCTGTTTGGAGACATGCAGACCTTTGGCTGAAGGACCAGTGTACAGGGTCTGATCCTGTATAGCATAAAATATCATACAAATCCCTTGATATCTAATTGATCCTTAGCCAAATCAAACTATATGTCATTCAGACCAGATGTTGAATAGACAGGTCAAAGGTGAATATTTGTTAATGATCAAATATTTGAAATTGCCATGCGTCAATTGCGTATAATACTTGCACTGTACTAATCACAAATGGCCTGTTGTAAGTGCCAAGGGAATGGTTGGACAGAAAAGTGATTTTTGAGAAAAGTTTGCAGCCTAGTCAATATTTCCTAAATAGTCAAGATTTCCCACCGACTATTATTGACCATCGAGTGTATACAGTAACAAATAGTCCCAAGTTGCACGAAAGCTTTTATGGAAAAGTAAGCGGTTCGGTATAAATGTATGAGGAGGTGTGTACAAAAATTGAGGTCCGAACTATCTATTCTAAACTACTAGTACTACTAGTGTTCTCTTGCATACTATCTTTGTACATGTCGAGTTCACTGTGATGTGCAGAGTAAATATAATTTCGGCATATATTATATTCTGCAATTGGAAGTTTCCGAATTTTACTTTTTACCGCAGACGAAGTTGCTTCTGACTCACACGCGCTATTGTTCCACTACCAGGCAAATACACGGCTTTCCTGATTACAAGTTGCGCTGAATATTCCTCTCCGGCTTGGACTTCCCATTTATTCAGCACCACACCTTTCTGTTTAACTATCTAAAGATATATCTACCTATATAAATTGGTTCCTTTGGAGTTTTGAATTTTGAAGACTCGAGTACACTATATTGTCATATATTCTTAGATTCATGGCATCGGCGTTACATATATCACCAACAAATTGACGGTTCAGCTAGCAGCCGAATTCTGCAAAAGATAAAACCACATTACATAATCCTGGAACTAGAAAATCAATAACGTGTGTGTATTTAATTGCTTATTTCGATTGAATCGCGTGCAGATAGTGACAACAGTCGTGATGGGACATCTTAAGTTAACAGTAAACGCTCAATCACTACATCGAAAATATAGCCAGTGAACCTCAGGGATGAGTTACAGGTACCAGAGGTGATACAAGTAATTAGAAGCCGACTATACGTACCATAAAACAGGAAAGCCTAAGCATTACAACAGCAACACGTTAACAATAACTAAAAAGCCAAGGACACAATCACTCAGAAAAAAGGTATAATTTGAATGATACGAAGCGACACTGATATCCACTTGATAATAATTTACATGCATTTTTATAACAGCAGTCAAGCACTACAGTTAGATCGCACCGTTCTGGTGAATATATATATATGAAAATATAGAAAGCACGACACCATATATGCCATTATTGCGCAATTTCAAGCTGTCGTGCTTTCCCATGACTTAGTTATCGACTTAGGTAAAATATTGGAACACTGGGCGTTGACTCTGGTATAGGGTTGATATGGTTCGTGAGTTACGTTCAGCCAAGGTGATGCCTCAAATATGTATTCAAATATAATAGTTGTTGTCTTTTAACTTGGCCCTGCAATCAATGGCTCGAATCACATTCTGGTATTAGTCTCTGAAATCTCGAAGTCAAGCACTACAGTTAGATCGCACCGTTCTGGTGAATATATATATATGGAAATATAGAAAGCACGACACCATATATGCCATTATTGCGCAATTTCAAACTGTCGTGCTTCCCCATGACTTAGTTATCGACTTAGGTAAAATATTGGAACACTGGGCGTTGACTCTGGTATAGGGTTGATATGGTTCGTGAGTTACGTTCAGCCAAGGTGATGCCTCAAATATGTATTCAAATATAATAGTTGTTGTTTTTTAACTTGGCCCTGCAATCAATGGCTCGAATCACATTCTGGTATTAGTCACTGAAATCTCAAACGATCCGTTTTCGTGATGCTGGGATATTCAAATTATCTAACATAAGATAGAAGAAAGAAATCATTTCTGATTGTCTCTCTGACCGCACAACTATAAAATCATCGATGCAGTGCTCATATATCGCGACCGATCTCTTATTGAGAAATCGGTTCACTTTGTTTGTTTATTTTTCGTGTGGCGCACAATAAAAAGCAGCTGGTAGTGGTGACTGGCGCATGTATGTGTGCAAACCAATTGTTTGAACTAGCATATTGATAAAAAGAAACGATATCGAACAATACAAATCTTGTGATGCAATTGAGCCGTAAAATTAAATGGCTTGTATAGTCTAAAAGAAAGTGGACAGCCATTGATTGCTTCTCCTACCGCGTGACTAACGCACCATTGCTCTAGTGATCATATATAGCAACGGGCATATTGTTGAGACATCGTTTCATCTCAGCCTGTAGAGTATGGAGAGTAGCTGAAAGGTGCGAGCCAATGAATACAATAGACCTATTCTCAAGTACGATTCTCTCAGCTAGGAAAAGTCCCTAGTCCGAGAGAATTGAACTGAGTCTTTATTTGTGGTTTCAAATTCACTAGACTCAGGTTTCTACTTGAGTGTTTCTCTCACACGCGGAGTCCCGGTATAGCTTACCGGTTCTACCGCTACTATTTCTGATAACTCTAATATTAGGAATATCTGAATCCTAATTCCAAAATAGGATTTGTATTGGCTTTTTGGTA